AGAGTATTGCCCATACCATGGACCATCAAAAGAATAAACACATCTTTCCTGGAGAGAGTAAAACCAGGCTGCTCCTTGGAGGCAAGGATTTTGAAGTTCCATCTCACAAACTTTGCGCATGTGACCAGTAAAGACCAGTCCTTGAAGGTCATCATGCTTGAAAGGGTGTAGAGACAGCACAAGAGAGGAAGAGCCCAGATGAGACAGACCAACACAGTGAGAAGGATAATGAGGGTAGGTGTGGCAAAGATAGTGAGACTGGCTCAAAATAATGCACAGTTCAGAGCTTTGGTGCATAGGGTCCCTATGAGTCGCCTAACAACAACAACATGCCCTTGTATCTTATATACTGGGATACAATGAATCTTCTGTTTTATTTTGATCCATGTCTCCGAGGTAGTTTTTTCCAGAGGCAGGTGGTAGATTCATTGTTTTCTGATAACAGTTGCTCAGAGGGAGAAAGATGGGAAGTTTCCTCCCCAAAAGATTTACAATATCAGAAACAAAATAGAGGGTTGTCTTGTGTCAGAACAGACTTGATGGCAGTGAGTTTTGGTGTTCTTTATGGTTAATTAGACCACGAATTTGAGATGTTTAGTAACTTCTTTTAGATCATTCAAATTGTAGAAACAATTGAGGTCCAGATGTGATCTAACAAAGGCCATGGCCTATACTCTTGGCCTAGAAATCCAGCAAGGCCTTGCCTACATTTTGTTTATTCTGAGCAAGACTAACACTGGTCTTTCCAAAGGCTTCTCCTCGCCACACTGTATACTAAATTGACCCTTCAAAGTGCCACCTAAATTGCTGTATAGTGAGCTACTTTGATAGTTCAGCATAGGCTTCTCCAGTGTCTCCTGCCTGGCCTGATTCTTCAGCTGGGAGAGGGGAGCAAAGATAGAGTTTTGACATTATAGTAACATTGTTCGGGTTGGATCCCTTCGAGTCCACTATACCTCATAGTGACCCTACACTGTGCCATCCTCATCATCTCTGATATTCATGAACCCATTGTTACAGTCACTATATCAACCCATCTCTTTGAAGGCCTTTCTCTGTTTTGCTGACCCTCCATCCTTCCAAGCTTGATGTAATTTTCCAAGCAGTGGTCTCCCCTGACAACATGCCCAAGGTATGTGAGATGGAACCTCAAAACCCTTGCCTCCAAGGAACAGCTTGTTTTCACTCTCTCTAGGACATAACTATTTATTATCTTGGCAGTCCATGGTATATTCAATAATCTTCTCCAGCACCACAACTCAAAGGCGTCCATTTTTCTTCTGTCATTCTTAGTCACTGTCCAGCTCTCTGATGCCTGAGAAATCCAATGGAGTGTCATGACTTGGTTGCCAACTTGATGGCAATGAGCTGAGATAAATGGGGAGGAAATCCAGTCAAGAGTGAGGGTTCTGAATAACCCAGAAATAATCACCAGGATTGGTGATTATCAGATCTGGGGCCTCTGCTCCACAGTTTCTTGATGTTGGGAAAGGCATATGGAGATTTCCAGGGGTTAAAAAGATGCTGAAGAACACAATGACTTTTCTCTACAAATGAGGGGGAGAGAATTGGCCTTCTCCTTGACTAGGCATCCTGAATTTGGATTCCTAGCTTCCTAAAATGTGAGAGAATAAATTTGTTTGTTAAAGCCATCCACTGGTGAAAATTCTGTCACAGTAGTTAAAGGTAACTAAGAAACTTTCCTGCCTTTGAGTTGTGAAAATTAACTCTGCTGAAAAATGAACCACTTCTATCATTTGTTTGTCCCAAACACTTTACTAGGGTTTAATGAATTCTTGCCTGCTTGGTAAAAAAACAAAACCAAAAAAACCCCTTGAACTCTTATTTACAAGATTGCTTTTTATTGATTTTGTTTACATAGAAAGGGATCAGTAGCAACAGTAATTGTCACTTTAAGTGACTATGAAAAACAAAATATATAATTATTTTACATGGTTATAATACAATTTTATAAAGCTGGTTAAAACATACCTCTACTTTGCTATGAACTATCCCTTTGGCCATTCTTAATCTATTGATCCTGAAATGTCTTTGAATATTCTCACATATTAGCAATGTATAAGATAGAAACTCATCTAAATTCACTTAAAATCTTTTGAGCTTTAACATTAGTATTAATGTTATTTTTACGCATTACCTTATTAAGCAACTCTTAGTACTAAGAAAAAAAATGTTTTAAAGTTAAACAGCAGCACCTTTTCCTATCTACATGTAATTATATCAAGCAGTCGTCCTTGTTTTTCTACAGCTTTTATTATTTTGTAGGACTCTTAAATATTTTTTCCGGAAGCTTACTGAATAAGCTTTTGATAATACTGAGATATTTTTGGTGTGAACTTTTCAAATCTTAGCAAGGATGAATATAGGCCACATGATTCTGACATGGAGAAACAATGGCTATAGAAAGGAAATGAGGAAGAGTAACAAAAATTAAGTAAAAAGTAATAACATGTCTGTGCCTGTATGCCAACAAACCGTAGAAACATTAGTGGCATACCTTTTAATTTCAATTCCAAAACTTGCAATGTCTTTTGTGACAATAGACATTTGGCAAAGTGTTTAGAAAGACATTAATAGACTTTCAATGCTTTATGCATCCATGTTGCACTCAAATTTATGATCATTTCTTATTGTCCATATTGTTGAGTTTTGGTGAACTATATGATATCATCATGCTGCATGCTGGCAGAAAACAAACATATTTTAAGATTGCGTTGGAACTCATCACGGGCTTTATTTGTGCCTGAAGTCACTCAGAGGACTGTGTCCTGTGCTTTGCTGGAACAGAATCAGGACCTTTTGCACTGATGTGATGGAGTAATGACGAACTCCAGGCTAAGAATGGAAATCTGTCCCGATGGGCTTCCTCCCACCCCACCTCACTTCCTCTCTTCTCACATTCTTTCACACGTGTCCCATTCATTCCACGGAAATCTAAGGCACTTTGCTGGGAAGATGAGAGATAAAAAAGCACCACCTCAAGAGCTAATGGTTATTTGTAATGGTTATTTACAAAAATAATAGAAAAATTAGTAATAAGCTTTTACAAAGGAGCCCTGGAGATGCCGTGGTTTTAAGTGCTGGGCTGTTAACTTGAATGTTGGTAGATCAGTCACACTGAGAGAGAAGGACATGGCAGTCACTTTCTGTGAAGATTACAACCTTGGAGACCCTAGGCGGCACCTCTTTGTAATCCTAAAGGGTCGCTATGAGTCAGGACCAACCCCACAGGAATAGATTTTGGTGCTGTTCTTTCCCTTGATTTAGTAAACTTTATAAAAACAAACCGAAACACGCAGCCTTTGAGTCATTTCCTTCTAGTAACCTTCCTCTGAGTCTCTGAAGCTGCTGTAAATCTTTAGGGGAGGGGACTGCCTATCTCTCTCCCACTGTCGCAGAGTCCAACAGTCAACTTTCTCTAGCAACCCGACACATTATAACACATTATACCATCAGAAATCTTTAGTGCATTTTATTTGTAGCTATTAATGGGTTAATTTGAATGATCTGGAAAAAAAAGAGTATGTTTGTTATACTATTATACACATGCCAGGGACAATTTTAACTACAGCATCAGTGAAAGAGGTGTTCCTCGTTCTTTGCATGTGGACACTGCTCCAGGCAATTCACATTCTGTCCAGTCTGGGGTTCTTGACATCTCCCCATTGTGAAGATATAAACATGGGGCCCGCCCCTGGTTTAGTAATCTACATATATTGTATGTAGCCAAGTACTTAGAGAAAACCAAACTGAACACATAGTTTATCCTTAAAGGCTGCAAGAAGATTATTTTAATAATCCTGAAAACACAGCAGGTAGCATTTTCTTTATAAAGCATGAGAATAGAAGATTACTTAAGCAGTCTTTCAGAATGGCATTCCATACCATGGCTCTCTTTCCCTTGGAGACGTTTGATCTTATTTAAATGGGAAGAGTTTAATGATTTTCAAAACCTAGTGGAACTCTAACTTCCTGCCCCCCAAAATGCAGCAGCTAAACAGCTTTTACATTTTATGTCCAACAATAGTTTGAAAATTTCTGTGCCACTGTTAATAACAGCTTGGGTTTGTTTGATTTTTAAAAAAAAATCAAATTAATTTAAACCATTTAAAATTGTTTTGCAGTGATGCATTTTTTTTCTCCTTTGTATCATTCATGTCGATTTTTCAACAAACTTTTTTAGTTAGAATTCTGTGGGTCCTGGTGGCAAGTGGTCAGAGCACTTCATGCCTAACTGAAAGGTCTAGAGTTCAAACCCACCAGCCACCCTGTGGGGGGGAAGATGCAGCTGTGGACTTCTGCAAGTTCATTGCCTTGAAAATGCTAGAGTAGTTCTACTCTGTTTCAGGGTCTCTTTTAGTTGGAATTGCTCCACAGCAGTGGATTAAAAGGAATTCCAAGGAACCCTGAAGGCACACTAAACTCTTAGTTGCTATCCAAAAAAAAATGGAGGTTTAAAACCTGTCAATGGTTCCAAAAGGGAAAGCCCTGACAAATGTGCTTCAATAAAGATTGCAGCCATGACAACCTTTGGAACAGTTCTGTCCTGTCACATGCGGTCACCATGAGTCAAAACTGACTCACAACACTGAACAACAACAATAAGAACTTAGAGTAAGCTAATTTTCAACGTAAATAGCGTATGAATATGCTGTTGTTGTTATGTGCTGCCAAGTCACTTGCCACTCATCGTAACCCTATGTATGAATATACCAGCCATTATTAAGAATTTTGTTGAAGTGCTACCTAAAAAAATTAAGTGCTGTAACAATGAAGCTTTCTTAATTCTCATTAGTTTTTCTTCTCTTGTTATAAACAGCTCATAATTATGTATGTTAAGAATGATTTTCATGTTGTCATACTTTTTTTTTTTAATGCAAACATACTGTTTTTCTGTTTGGTTTTTCTGGCAAATGCCTCATTGCTTTAATGACTTCTGTCCAAAATGTAAAAAGGAAAAGAAATGAAGTAAATATTTCTTCTTTCAAGATGAGCTGTATTTATTACTGGAACGGAAGTTGTCGTATCCATGGTCATTAACTTTGAACTTCAGGCAGGACTGCTTTTCCTCCAAGGACTGCTTTTCTTCAAATGACTGGCACCAGCAGCACAAGCATGACTGTACAAAACAAAGTTCCTCATTATATGTTCACATCAACTCAATTATCACAGCTCCTCATTCTTTCTGAGGTTCTGATTTTCTCTTCACAATTGGGAATTCTCAGGCCACTTCCCTTCTGTGCTCTCTAGTTTTTTTACCCTTAGAATATTCAATTATTTCATTACAGAAGTAGCTTACAATAGTATTGCAGAATATATATTACTTATTATTGTTAGAAAACCAAGAAAAAGAAAATATAAATCTACATAAGAGTCTTCATCAAGAAAAAACCACTCTTAATACTTAACAAATAAATACATAAAGATATTTTCTATACAAATAAGAAAAAAAGACACAATCACAAATACTCATGATTGCATATATACATGTACTTGTGAATGGTTGTAGAATTTCTTTTAATGAGATGATAGTGTATATGCCACTCAACAGCCTGATTACTTTCACTTAATGGTGAAGATATCGGAAACATCTTTCTATGCCAATAGATTTCATTTTTTCCAGCCACAGAATATTGCCATACCCTGAAATTTCAATTTGTTTACACAGTAAGGTTTTAAGGTATATAAGCATCTCAATTTTAGTCCTCCAAATACTTTTTGTTTTTCTTTAATCTAAACCTTTGCTTTTCCTTTTTGTTTATTGACAGGCTTTATGTATGAGAAGATATTGATCCACTGTTTTCTGTTTAATAAAATTAGAGAGTAGATCTTGATGACCTTTTTTTTTCCAGTTCTGAATTCTGTAAATTTATAATTTCCAAGCCCTAAAATCTATAAGTTTATGAGTAAGAATTATGTAGACTGCTTCAGTAATTTTAAAGTAAGTTAAAGTCCTGATATTTCAATGATAAAATCCTGGACACAAATGGATTTATTTAATATAAGAAAGAAAACATTCTGTTTTGTGGTAGATTACTGAAGGAGTGAATGGATGGATGAGAGGCTGTTAGGATGCAAGCAGCTGACTGAGGAATAATTATCCGTGTTCCCTACTGAGTAGTGCAGTTTCCCTGTCCCAGGTAGATGGGTAAAAGGAAGAAGCTTAATTATATTTCTTTCTTGGACTTGTTTTTATAATCAATAGATAATAGTTATTCATTTGCTCATAACCCAAATTTGGTGTAGCTGTATAATAAGAAAAATCTAGGGAATAGAACACGTCATCTATATTTAAGAGGCTGTTTAACATCTCAGAGTATAATTTTTGTTCATTTTCTAAGCAATGCCATGAGAATAACTGATTGGTTGGAGCACTAGGAAGTAGTTAACTATGATTGGTAGGCAAAAATTAACTAAAATTACTTGTAAGTAGAAGTCTCATTTTTTTTTATTCTTAACTCATCCATGACGTAATGTGAAGGTGAAGTTGTAAAATGCTTTACTAGATTTCTCAGGATAGAAACTTTAAAGGATTGAAAGGGTTATCTTGCTGTCAGCCTGACCCACGTCATGGTCTTTTCAGTTTACTTCCTATGCACCTGAAAGTTGGACAGTGAAGACGGCTGGCAGAGGGAGGATGGGACGCCTTTGCACTGTCGTGTTGGAGAAGATTACTGACTAGTTCGTGGACTGGCAGAAGAACAAATAAGTCCATAAGCAGAGTAGTCCTTAGAGGCAAGAATGGTGAAATATGTTATCACATACTTTGGGCATGTCAGGAGGGGCTAGTTTTTGGAAAAAGATGTCATGCTGGGAAAGGTGGAGGGTCAGAGAAAGAGTGGGAGATCATCAATAAGATGGATTGGCACAGTGACTGTAACTATGGGCTAGCTGAAATCAGAGATGGCAAGAATGACACAAAATAGGGCAAAGTTCAGATATGTTGTTCATGGGGTCACTATGAGTTGTAATTGACTCGATGGAATCTAACAACAACTATTTTGAAATCTCCTCTTACCTTAAAGCAATTTTTGAACCTCTTGCTCACCAAATACAGGGCTATTGGATTAATGCAGGAATTCAGGGAGGCCATGTTGATCCCGACATAGTCCAACACCAACAAAAAGCTGGGAAAAAAAGAGCCCACAATGTGTGTGAGGGAAATATGCTTCTCTGAGCTTGTATTCATTGCAGATTTCAGTGCTTTTGTGAAAAACAAAACAAAAGCCAAAAAACAAACATACAACCCACTTGTATACAGTGCCTTTGAATTTATCACTAGTCTTTTCTGATAATGACATCTTCTTACCTTCTGTCTCCCTTCCCCACCCCCTTATCTACCTGTGATCATCGTTTAGAAGTACCTACTCTCCCAGGAGCTCTGCTAGCCTAATGGTAAGGAGTTGCCCTCCCAATCCAAAGCACAGATGGTTCAAATCCATCAGCTGCTCTGTAGGAGAAAGATGGACAATCTCCTGGGCAATTTACTGCCTCTGAAAACCTATTGGAGGGTCAGCTTTAGGTCAAATCTAACTCTATAGCATATGACAATTCACTCACTCTCCCACACCCAACTGTCCATTTTAGAATGAGTTTTAGTCTGGAGGTGCTGAATTGATTTACAAACTACAAAGAAACAGACCTGATATTTTAAAATTTGTCAATCATTCATCAGTTTAGACAAATCTGGCCTTCCATTTCCAGCACTATCTTAAGTTCTCATTAAATCCCTTCTTGTATAATAAAAGTGAAGGTCAGAACTGAGTTTTAATTGTTCCCTAAGGTTTAAGCAGGTATCCCTGGTTTGAGACTGCAGTTAATGTGCTTAGCTGAGTTGGAAACAAAACAAATGAACAAACAAACAAAAAAATTGCAAAGTTACATTCCATTCCACCCAGAGGTCCCTCAGAAGAAATTCCTGGCTAAACAACTTCTGAAAAATCTGTTGCTAAAACCCCCTATGGAGAACAGTGTGATTCCAACTCACATGGGGTCAACATGAGTCTGAATCACCTTCAATCACTGACAATTATTATCTTTTTTTTAGGGTGAGAAGAGTGACTCTTTTAGGGAAACGTTTCTGGATTGAATTTTACTTACACAAACATTTTTATTTTATGTTTTTTACCTCAAAAGGTCACACCTGCCAGGGTCATTCTGATCATAAAGAGTGAGCTTCAAAATCCTGCTCAGATGAAGGGGAAGCCAACACAGGGCAAAGACGATCACCAGGCAAAAGACTGTTTTTGCCACTTCCCGTCTCTGAAATAAAACCACAGTCAGACCCTTAAAGAAATGCCTCATTGTCAGTGCGGTGTCTGTCTTCTGAAACAGAATGCAAGATATTGTTCACACACACACACACACACCACACACACACACACGTCCCCTCACCCACCCCAATAGCATTGGTGAAAATTTAGGACACTGAACTTTAAATTGAAGAATCCGTGTGAATGAGAAGCATATGACTAGAGATTTTGTGTTAAAAGTGAAGCTTTCATCTAAGGGAGTTCTAGTGGCACAGTCCCTAGTGAGAAGGGCAACTAAGCCCAAGGCTGTGCATCTCCTGCAGTGTGAATCCACCAGCAGCCCTGAGGGGAAAAGACTGCAGTCTCTTCCAGTTATAATTTTACAATCTTCAGAACCCAGCAGAAGGTCATTAGTAGTAAGAAATGACTCCCTGCCACTGAGTTTGCACTTTATGTAGATCCTTCTAGATTGTTGTTTTTGTGTACTGTAGAGTTGGAACTGATCCATGGCTGACCTTCTGGTGGGTTTTCAGTTAACTGCATGGGAGGAGATTGCCCATCCTTCTCCTGTGGATAGCTGATAGCCTTGAACTCCCTGCCTTTGGGATTACAGGGCAGGTACTTGCCACTAGAGCTGCCTTCTATATTACATAGATAATTTCCAAATAGATGTTATGAATTATATACTGTCTATAGGCTGGTGGTTCGAATCCATCAGATGCTCCTCAGTAGAAAGATGGACAATTTCATGTGATTTACCGCCTAGAAAATCAGCTATGAGTCATATCTGACTCCATAGTAAGTAATAATCATCGTCATCATCATAATAATAATGTAGTCAAGGATATCAGAAGGAAGAAAAAGGAAATACTATTCACTGTTGTATAATAAATTCAGTATGTTATTATTAATAATCTTAATACTCATGATGATAATGACAGCCATTCAGCAATTGTGTTTATTTTTCTTACCTGCTTTAAGTGATCATTTAAAGCAATTTGCATGCCACTCTTCTTTCTCAACATCTCACAGGTCATCAGGGTATAGAAAAATGCAGTAATGGCCAATGGTAAGCAGAAATAGAAGCTGAATATCCACCAATCTTTAGCTATCTTATAAAACTACAGAGAAGGGGAAAATTATGATTTGTTCTCCTCTGTAAGAAATTCTTACACACCAAATGTTAAAGTGAATAGGATATATTTATCTTAACCATATCAACTTTATTAATACCATACAGAATCTTTCAGTCCAAATCTACTGAATAAATAATTAAATACTTATATTATGTGTAAGAAACTTTTCTTAGGAGGCACTTAAATAGTCTAAGACAAGACAGTGTTGTTACAATCATACATAAAACACAGCATTTGGGAGAAATTTGATATATTTGGTAATTCAATGTTTCCCCTACACATAAGCAAATTATCCTTAGTGCACTCCTTGTGTAAATACCACATCTGAATACATAAAGAAAATCTAAATGTTTACACAGAGTTTTCATGTTTACTGGGAAAACCAGATATGAAAATGTCCATGCTAAGGCTTTAGCTCCATAATGTGTGTATTTTTTTTAAAAAAAATCATAACTGCATACGATTTAAGCCTTTCATATTATTCTTTTTCTATTTTTAGGTAGAATTTAACAAAAAAAGCTTTTGCAATACATTTCTTTTGTAATACATTTGTATTACAGAAGAATTTATATGACCTATGCAGCATCTTTTTTTTTTTTGCCAATAAGAAATTAGAAAACAGCAATCTCATGCCCAGTACCGTCTTTCTTTATTATTTTGTCTTTTGACTCCATCTGATTCCTGAAATGTGCTCCTGAGGCAGAGCAACTGGTTTGCACTCTATTATTAGCCTAAAAGTTAGCTGTTCTAATCCGTTCCACGTCAATGTGGAAGATAGGCCTAGAAGTATGCCTTCATTAAGATTATAGTCACAAAAAACACATGGGACTAATTTCAAGAAGAATATTCACCTTGCAGTCTGTGGTTAAATGAACAAAGAAACTCTAAACCACAAAGAAGAACTTTCTGGGACAGAGAGTCTGAGTGAATGGTGGTCAAACAACACTAGTAGCAATGAGAGAAGGTTGGTATGATGGAAAGCATATAACTTGTCAGTGGGCTGTGCCTATAAAAACTGTTGAGTGGATGTAGGTTAAATTTTCACTAACACACACACACACTCTCTCACCCCAAACCCTAGCTAGCAGTTCTACTCTGTTAACACATGATGGTAATGCAATGTGTTTTCCTTATTTTTGCTGGTTTTTATCTCGATAGTGTAGTTTTATTCAGAACATGTAGTAGTTGACAGTTCTTATGAGGCCATACATAGAAATACTATCCGTTCATAAACATGTAAGAAGTGGTGAACTTAGTTAAACTCTGCTCAGTGACATGATCTGTGTCCCTGTGAGCCAGGCATTCTGAGCGACATGTGACCCAGCATCGTGCACCTTGGGCCATGACAATTTCCATTCATACCAAGGAAAGTTATATAGCTATTCCTACACAGCAATTAGAGGGGAAATAGCTAAATATTTATAAGGCAAGAACAGCTAAGGGAGTAAGGGTGGGGAAAAGAGGAGGGAAACAGTGAGTGAAATTTACCTGCATGAAGGCTGTTTTCTGATTGGGATGAAGCATGCAAATTCGCAGAAGACTTCCTTTGTAGTCAAGCGTAATCAAATCAAAAGCCATGGCTTCAGGGGTAGCCAGAATCACAGAGATCACCCAAATTAAAACAATTTCTACTGCTGTCCATTTTGGCACCCCAATTCCTTTAATTCTACTCCAAGAAGCAACAGCTCGGTATCTGAAATAGAATGGGTTGTCAAGCAGATGGGTATGGTTTTATATTCACAGTTTATTTTCCTTTTTATAAAAGCAATGTAGTAATTGTGAGTAACAGAATTCTGGATATTCCTGGCTTTGCACTTACTAAGCACTTACCTGTCAATACTTAGAGCACACAGACTCAGCACAGTGATTCCCACTGAGGCTTTCTGGATGAAAGGTACCAGTTTGCACATCTCAACTCCAAAAGGCCAGTCTTCCGCAAAGAGCTGCTTGGAGGAGGAGACATGAAGATATGAGTGGAAAAATCTGCGCAAGACTACTTAGCATCCAAAGTAAGATAACAAACTCAGGCTCTTATTCTTTTCCTTATAGACTACACCTTGGAAAAGTATCAGGGGAAAGTACCAGAGAGATGGAATAGAAAAGTGCATTAGGAAAAATAGAAATACTTTCAGTTCAAGGGACTTAATTATGCATATACTATCCTTCAGGGTCAAGTTCCCATATAATGCAATATTAAGCCTGGAGTGTTGAGAACAACTCTGGTGTGGAGTCTTAAATTCTGAGGTGATGGCCACAGCAAAATATGCAAACCACAAATCAAACCCAGCAATGTCAAGTGGGTTCTGACTAATGATCCTCCATCAGGTTTCCAAGGCTGTAAGTCTTTACCGGAGGCAACTGTCTATCTTTATCTTAAGCAGATGGTGGATTTATACCATTGGCATATAGGCTAGCAACACTACATAAACCACAGATTCTACATGTTTCTAAGCTGAGAATAGGCAAATCATATGGAGAATAGTTTGGGCATCTATTTCTATCTATCTGTCTATCTATCTATCATCTATCTATCTATCTATCTATCTATCTATCTATCTATCTATCTATCTATCTATCATCTTCTATCTTTTTTTAGTATGCATAGTCAATTTAGGGAGTGCTGGTGGCCTAGGAATCTGTGCTGCACTCCTGAAGGCATGAGGTTTGAGTACTCCAGCTGCTCCACGGAAGAAGGATGGACAATCTCCTCCCAAGAGATTAACTGCCTCTGCAAACCTGCTGGAGGGTCATCTGTGGGTCACTTCTGACTTGATGGTACACAACCACAAACATAGTCAACTTGCGTAAGTAAACATTAACCCACGGACACACTGCTCCTTGACCACATCGATAACACCCTTGCTTTAGAGCTTTTAGAGTCTTTCCTTTTCCTGGAAGACTTTTTCTTCACAGATCCATTCGTCTAACTTCCTAACCTCTTATTTCAAGTTTTGCTCTAATCTGCCCTTCTTACCATGACCTGTGTTCATCACACTAAATACAGGACTCCTGTGAGCCAGGACTCCTAATTTCCCTTTCTCTATAAAAAAATCTTAAACATAGGGCCACACAAATTGATGGGTGGAGGGAGTGATTGGTAAAAGGGAAAAGGTTTGGTATAAAAAAAGAATGTATATGAACTTTATATTTAAACCAGTATAAAATTTTTAAAAAACACAAACAAAAAGCAAAAAAACCACCAAATCCCCAAACTCTTTGCCATAAGGTTGGTTGTGATTGATGGTGATTCCACATATTTTAGAATAGAACTGAGCTCTATATTTTCCATGGCTGTGATTGTAATCTTATGGCTGTCATCTTTCATGATGCTTCTGGATGGATTTGAACCACCAACTTTTTGGTTCGTAGCCAGGAAGTAATGGTTTGCATTAGCCAGGGACCTGCTCTACTTTCCCTTTTCTCAATAGTATTAATTGCCTTCTACGGTATAAATTATATATTGCCTTTAGTTATTTTTTAAAATTTGTTTTCTAGTTAGTTCCTCAAAAGAATAATGTAGATTATGAAATTAACAAGTATTTAGAGTAATAATTGACATATAGCATTGTGTCAAGCACATAGATAACCAGATGTTGTTGTCATTGTTATGTGTTTTCTGCACGAGTTGCCTGCAACTCATTGTGACCCTATGTACAATAGCTCTGAACCCTGCTCTGAGCCAACCTTATTGTCTCTGATACACCTACCCCCATTACAACAGTCACTGTGCCAATCCATTTCATTGAGGGTCTTCTTCTTTTGCACTGTCCCTCCACTGTCCCAAGCATGATGTCCCTTTCCAAGGACGGGTCCCTCCTTGCAACATGTCCAAAGTATGTCAGATGGAGCTTCAGAAACCTTGCCTCCAAGGAGCACTGTGGTTTCACCCTCTCCAGAACAAACCTATTTGTTCTCCTAGCAGTCTATGGTATATTCAATACTCTTCTCCAGAACTACAGCATAAAGGCATCAATTCTCCTTCTATCATCCGTAGTCATTGTCCAGCTTTCTGATGCATAGCACTCAATCAGAGAGATACATTCAATAGACACTCAATCCCCTGAAATATATTGTTGATCCTTGTGGTTGAATTAGAACAGCTTATAGCCAATCAACACCCCACCCACCCCCTCCCAGCCACTTTTCAGAGGCTATAAATCACAGGGAGGAGAATGACTATCTTCTTCTTATGGATCAGCTGGTGGATTTGAACCACTTGTCTTTGGTTTGGCAGTGGAACACATTACACACGAAGTCACAAGAGCTCCCTCTGAAATACATGTTATTGTTGTTGGTGTGTACCATTGAGTCAGAATAACTCAAGAGCTGGCCCTCTAGCAGGTTTTCAGAGGCAGTAAATCCCATGGGAGAAGATTGACCATCTTTCTCCTGCAGATAAGCTGGTGGATTGGAACCTTTGAGGTGGCAGCTCCTTTTCTCTAGGCCACCAGAGCATCAGAACCAGAGAATATTATCAGCAAAAAAGCATACTTCTTGCTACAGATGTATATAGTTCTAGTTATCTGTCTATAAGATAGACAAAAAGCATAGTTCTCACTATTTTATGCCTATTTCTGTTTATCTAACTTCAGAATAAGCAATCAGCTATTGCTAAACATAGTTATTTTCCTTTTTGGGAAAAGTGAGTGTCTCTCACACTAGTAAAATGAATCACTTCAGGCAGACATCTGGAGAGAATGTTCAAGAGGTTTTGAAAATAAAGACAACTATAAAAATCTATGGGTTTTGAAAAAATGCTTCCAACAGTGAAAACTCATCTTTTTGTCTATTTATGAGCAAAGGTTCTTTACTTGATTTGTCAAGCTGGGTAATTTTTCTTCATCTAGGATAGCACAAACACGGAAATGTGTGTCTGATTATGTATTAAATATCCAACACAGGGTTACTTTAGTATTTAATATCCAACACAGGGTTACTTTAATCTTTTAAGTTAGACATGAGACATTATAGGCATGTGTAACAGAAGTTGGCAGACTGGCCACAAGTATGTTCTATCTTGGGGGTTTGAAAGCCTACTGCACCAGGCAGGTAATGTGGAGGAGCTTAGGCAGCCAGGTCTAAGAGTCTTTGATGTGAGGGATGCAGTAGAGAGTGGTGAAGTCTGGGGAAAAGCCTGTATGAAAGGAGGAGCTACTAATCACCATCATATAGTTTTTACTATCAGAATTTCAGCTGGAGAAGAGTATTGAGAATACCATGGACCTCTAGGAAAACAAACAGATTTGTCCTGGAAAGGGTCAAACCGGTGGCTCCTTGGAGGCAAGGATTCTGAGGCTCCGTCTAACATACTTTGGACATGTTGTGAGGAGAGACCGGTCCTTAGAGAGGGACATCATGCTTGGGAGGGTGGAGGGACCGCGCAGGAGAGGAAGGCCCTCTATGAGGTGGATTGATTCAGTGACTGGGATAATTGGGATGGGAGTGTCAGAGACAGTGCGATTGGCACAGGACAGAGCGGAGTTTAGGGCTGTTGTACACAGGGTCGCTATGAGTCGCAAGCGACTCGACGGCACATAACAACAACAACAACATCTCTTTACTTTTTAAAAAAGCCAACTCCCCAAAACATGTTGAGTCAATTCTAACAAACAAAGACCCTATAGGACAGAGTAGAGCTGCCCCATAGGGTTTCTACGGCTGCCAATCTTTACAGGAGCAGGTTGTCATATCTTTCTGTCATAAAACAGCTTCTGGGTTTGAACTCCACACCTTTTGGCTAGCAATTGAATCACCAAAGCTCTTGATTTTTCAAAAGGCGGCAGAGACCAGAACGTGTATGAAAAAATGTCACAATTAATAAATGCTTTTATTGAATTCACATTAAAAAAGAAGCACAATCCTGGAATGCTGTATTATCAAAATATATTCATAGGCCAGGTGGGTAATTTGCCAACTAATCAGTGAGTTATAGCTCTCATTCAGTTAACAGTGGCTGACTATCTATTATGCGCTAAACAATATTCTAGGAGCAAGGTGTGTATTGGTGAATAAGGAAAACTCCATGTTCACACAGAGTTTACAATCTACTGAATGGTATGTACTAGAAACACACAAATACTTTTTTAATGTTACTACATTTAGATGGCATCCTATTAAGTGAGTGATGCTTGATTTTGAGAAACTTTCTTGACAGGCCACTCAGATCTCTCTGAAGAGGCAACATTGAAATAGTGTCCTGACATGAATAAGAAAGCAAGCCATGCACAGATTGCTCTAGAGAAAGAAGTGTAAATACAAAGGACCCCAGAGATTAAGAGAAGCCTTAAAAGTAAAGTAGAGTGACTGAGGGCAGACTGAGTGTCTGAGTTAAGTGACATTGTAAGAAGAGAAGCTTATAATTTTAAGTGAATTCATTATAAAGATTCAGCCAGGAAGTGAGATAACATTATTTGTGTTTTTAGAAAGATCACCCTCGTTGGTGAGAAAGCAGAGTCTGGTGAGAAGCTTTGGTGACAGCTTACTGTGACCTTGACTGTGGTGGTGACCCAAAGATGAGGAGAAGGGATGACAGACACAATATAGAATTTGAAGGTAGAGCCAATAGGACAGGCTGATGGATTAGATCTAGGATGGGAAGAACTAGGACACCCTAAAGATTTATCATGCAAATTGTGGAGCCCTGACTGAGACAGGAAGACTTTGAGCTAGCTATGCCTTGCTTGCTTGAGATGGCTCAAAAGAACTGCCAAGGGCCCCCTGAAACGAGAATGAAAAAGTGCCAATTGATTATATAAAGTCTACGGGAACTGGAATCTGTGTAAGGCAGGAAAGCTCAAATGCTTCCATTAAAACAAACAGTGGAAGGATAAGACCTGTAAAGGCGAAAACTTACAAGATCTGGAAAAACAAGCTAATCTTGTCAGATTTCAGCTCTTATGTCTTTCACTACAAAGAACTTCATTTGACACAGCTTGATATAAAT